CCAACCGTGGTGGCAGCCCGGAAGGACTTGACAGGCGAGGTGCTGAGTAGGAGGATGTGCGGAGATTACAGGGATCTTAACAAGATCACAGTGCCAGATAGATACCCCATGCCGATGGCAGAAGAGCTCTTTGAAAAGTTGGCGGACGGGGTGTTCTTCACAACGCTGGACCTGCGACAGGGGTTCAATCAAATCAAGATAAGAGAGGAGGACGTGAAGAAAACGGCCTTCCACGGACCGGATGGGCTGTACGAGTGGCTGTACATGCCCTTCGGCCTGAGGAACGCCTCGGCAGTGTTCCAGAGAGTTATGGACGCGGTGCTGCGGGGAATAGAACACGCGGCGTGCTACATCGATGATGTCGTGATCTTCAGTTTGACCGAGCAGCAGCACCTGGAGGATGTGGAGAAAACACTGACGGCCATAGAAGGAGCAGGGCTCACGTGCCATCCCAACAAGTGCAAGTGGGGGGAGCGGACAGTACAGTACCTGGGGTATGAGGTCACAGGGGGGCAGATTGGGATCCAGCAAGCAAAGGTGCAAGTGCTGGACAGGCTAAGGGAACCGCGAGACAAATTAGGACTGCGTGCGGTCTTGGGCTTCCTCAGCTACTACAGGCGCTTCGTGCCGAACTTCAGTAAGCGAGCGACGGTGCTGAACGGGATGCTGCGCGAAGACAAGGCATGGGAGTGGGGAGAAAAGCAGAGAGAGGCGCTGCAAGACCTCATGACAGCCGTGAAGACAGCAACCGTGCTGCGGCTGCCAGCAGCAGATCAGCCCTTCATCTTGTACACCGACTGGAGTAGCCAAGGGATGGGGGCAATACTATGCCAGGAGGTGGAGGGAGTGGAGAAGGTGGTGGCCTACGCCAGCAGGAGCTGCAACCCAGCGGAGGCACAGTACAGCTCATACATCGGGGAGGGGCTGGCGGCAGTGTGGGCGGTCGGGCATTTCCGGATATACCTGCAGGGCAGAGAATTCACCCTAGTCACTGATCATCAGCCCCTCACATGGCTGATGACTACACCAGGGCTGACAGGGAGGAACGCGAGGTGGGCAGTGAAGTTGCAGGAATATGATTTCAAGATCAAGCACAGGCCGGGGAAGACGCTGCAGCACGTTGATGGTCTCTCCCGCAACCCGCCGCCGCTGGAAGCAGAACAGGTAGCACAGGGGACGGAGGAAACAGAGCCGGAGCCAGCACACACCTTGATCTTGCTGGGAAGAGAGGTGGAGCAGGTCGGGGCAAAAGGGAGCAAGGGGCCAGCTGACATCTGGCAGGATGCAAAGGCAATGGAATGGGTGAAGGGAGAACCCGAAGAGGATGAGACGGTGTCAGAAAGGGTGAGGGCACGAGGGCACCACTACAGGTGGTATCAGCAGCAGCTGCAGATCAAGACGGAGGATGGCTGGAAGCTGGTGCCTGCGCCCAAGGACCGTGAAGCAGTGATCAAGGAAGTGCACACTAAGCTGGGACACTTCGGGCACGAGAGGACCGTGCACCTGCTGAAGACGGGCTGGTGGTGGGAAGGGATGCGCAGGCAAGTGAAGGAGTGGGTGGAGGGGTGTGAGGCATGTCAGAGGAGCAAAGCAAACCTGACGCAGGCCAAATCAGAGCTGCACTCACTGCCGATCTGCGGGCTGGGGTTCCGATGGTCCCTAGACCTCGCGGGAGAGCTGCCGCTAAGCAGGAGCGGGAATCAGTACATAGTGTTCATGGTGGAACATGTGAGCAAGTGGCTGGAGGTGCGAGCCATCCCTAGCAAGAGCGCGAGGCACATTGCAGCAGCCTTCAAGGCACAGGTGGTGTGTCGGTTTGGAGCGTGCGGTGAGGTGCTCACAGACCAGGGAACAGAGTTCCAAGGAGAGTTCAAGAAGTTGCTGGAGGAGTCTGGCATCACGCACCGAAAGACCTCCCGCTACCACCCGCAGAGCGACGGGCTGACCGAGCGCGCGGTGCAGACCTTCAAGCGAGGGCTGCGGGCCTACGGGGAGCAGAGGAAGAGGGATTGGGATGATGAGTTGGACTGGATAGCGGCAGGATACAGGTTTGGGAAGCAGGCAGCGCTGAAGGATCATTCTCCGTATAGCCTACTCTTTGGACGAGAGCCCATCCTGCCAGTGGGGGCACCGCGGGTGTTGACAGACACAGTGACAGCGGGCACGATTAAGAACTGGGTAGCCCTGTCAGAGGTGAGAGCGCGCTACATGCGACACATGATGCCAGCCGCGCTGGAAAATCTGCACACCGCACAGCTGCGGGATGCCAGGAGATACGAACAGCGGCAACGGAAAAGTGAGGGGAGAACGGCGAGGGGCGTCTGGGAAGGGCAGGAAGTTTATTTGAAGAGAGCAAAGCAGGACACTCTAGACGTGGGATTGGGGACAGTGCGCTGGAAAGTCAAGGAGGTGCGCCCTTCGGGGGTGCTGGTCTTGGAAAACGATAAAGGGGCGCTGTTGAGGGAGCATCAGACGAACACAGCCGTGATCAGAGGGACCGGGCCTCAGCGTACTGGTCCTGTGACCCGCGCTCGAGCTGCTCAAGCACGGGCACAGGAGGGGGCAGAGAGTGGCTGAGGCAGCTGAAGGAACAGAGAAGAAGAAGAGAGTTAGAATGCAGGCAGATGACGAGCAGAGCTGTTTCTCCGACAGCTGTCACCGAATATGCACGGTTGTGCATATACGGTGCCAGTTAGATCGAGGTGTAGTTCTGGTGTGGTTTGGGTGTAGCAATGTTGTGTGTGCATATTCGAGGGTAGGTAGGTGGGGAACCAGGGAAGTTGACGCGAGGTTGTTAGGAAAGCACCAAGGGGGAAATCCACGCGACCAATGTGATTGAACCAACCCAGGCTCGAGCCGCACATTGAGAAATGCACGGCTCGAGCCCAAGTCAGGTAAAGTCACTCTCTCACACAGCTCTGATGCTTTCCGTTTGGTATCCTTTCATATAGTGGACTGTTGTTACCTCAGCTTTGCATACAGGTGGCACACCACTCAGGGAGGACCCTTGAGGTGAGAGTTACGTCTCATTCATTGAGAGTGGCTGAGGCAGCTGAAGGAACAGAGAAGAAGAAGAGAGTTAGAATGCAGGCAGATGACGAGCAGAGCTGTTTCTCCGACATCCTGCGAAGTGAGTGGTACCGGTTAGATTGGAGCTTGGTGTGCATTGTGTGACAAACTGTTCCGCGTGTGATGAGTTGATTTTTGAGTCGAGCATGGTGTGCATTGTGTGACAAGCTGTCCCGCTTGCTGGTTTTGAACCGTGTTGCCTTTTTGTTTTTCTTGAGAACAGGGCTTCTGCTGTCCTTCATCGATGAGCGACCAGCAAATCTCTTTGTTCCTATTCAATCCACTCCGGTCCATTCCATCCCATTCCATCCCATTCCATTCCATTCCATCCCATTCCATCCCATTCCATCCCATTCCATTCCATTCCATTCCATCCCATTCCATTCCATTCCATTCCATTCCATCCCATTCCATCCCATTCCATCCCATTCCATTCCATTCCATCCCATTCCATCCCATTCCATTCCATTCCATTCCATCCCATTCCATCCCATTCCATCCCATTCCATTCCATCCAATTCCATCCCATTTTATTCCATTCCATTCCATTCCATCCCATTCCATCCCATTCCATCCCATTCCATTCCATCTTATTCCATCCCATTCCATCCCATTCCATCCCACTCCATCCCATTCCATCCCACTCCATCCCATTCCATCCCATTCCATTCCATTCCATTCCATCTTATTCCATCCCATTCCATCCCATTCCATCCCACTCCATCCCATTCCATCCCACTCCATCCCATTCCATCCCATTCCATCCCATTCCATTCCATTCCAACAGGTGCTGACTTTTCATACTGGCAGCAACCACACCTCGTGGTATGGCGGTATGGTGACTGCATGGCATGGCAACATGGCATGGCAGCAATCTCCTTTGTCCCATTGAGGTGACTTTTGAGTCGAATAAAAAATCAACAGCCATACCTTGTGGTATGGCAGTATGGTGATTGCATGGCATGGCAGCATGGCAACCACCAACCAGCAACCTCCTTTGTCCCATTCCATTCCAATCCGATCCAACAGGTGCTGACTTGATTCGTACCGCAACAGCCACACCTCGTGGTATGGCGGTATAGCAAACCGCATGGCAGCATACGGCATGGCAGCATGGCAGCACATGGCATGGCCACATGGTGACATGGTGACACGGTGGCATGGTGGTATGCCAACAGCGCGGCAGTATGGCAACAGCGCGGCAGTATGGCAACAGCGCAGCAGTTCTGTTCTCTTCTCCCATACCAGATGAACCGAATACTCAGTTCTGTTGTTTAATCCCCAGCAGTTTCAAACGCTTATAAAGACTCCTTAAACGAGAAACATATTTATGGTTACAGCTTACAGCCTACAACTACAGTACAGCAGCTAACTGCCACTAAAACTAACTGTAGATGTAGAAGAACATATTGTATGAAATTTATATAAGTAAATGGTGCCACAACCTGATTCGTGGAAGAAATTGCTCTGTAAATTTCTCAAAATTATAAGACATCTAAAGTCACGCATCTAAAGTGCGAGATGTATTTAGAGAGTTGGTTTTGCAATCCCATTAGGAGAGCACAAAGGGCAATCTGGAAAAAAACAAGGCTTTCCCCTTCCCCCTGTCCGTTGGGAGAGAGCGTACAGAATATGATACCCTCTTAAAAATGGGGACTTTGTGTACAGCTGTTACGAGTGCAATTGAGGAAGGACAGGGAGGCCCGGAGCGCGGGTTACCCGCCGAGCCGTGAGGTCGGGGTGCGACGTGCGAAGGTGGCGGGAGGATTGTCGATGCGAGAGTTGCGAGTGGTAACGGTGCTGACTGTGGTGCTACAGTGGTGTACGCGCTGAGCGGGGACGCGAAGTAAGGAAAAGGAATTTTCCTTACAACAGCATTAGTAATACAAAAACAAGTAATTTTACAACCCCCTAGCTATTGCAATAGCCTTTTATTTCTTTCCACCTTTGCCACCCTTTCCACCCTTGCCTCCCTTCCCTCCTTTCCCACCCTTTCCACCCTTTCCAGCCTTTCCACCCTTCCCTGTGCTCGTTGTGCCTGCGGTCTGGCCCTGATCCTGCCCCTCTGCTCCCCCCTGCTCCCCGCCAGCCCCGCCCTGCTCTCCACCAGATCCCCCCTGCTCCCCGCCGGATCCCCCCTGCTCCCCACCAGCCCCCCCTTGCTCTCCGTCAGAACCCCTCTGATCTCCGCCAGGTCCCCCCTGCTGGTTACCAGGTTTCCCCCCCTTTCCCCCCTTGCCCCCTTTCCCTCCCTTTCCGCCTTTTCCGCCCTTCCCACCCTTCCCTCCCTTTCCGCCCTTCCCGCCCTTTCCGCCAGCGCCGATCAGTGGCGGGCCACCCTCGCCTCCCCCAACGTCGCCGCCACTGCCGGTATCTCCGCCACTGGCGGTATCCCCATTGTCGCCACCAGGGGGACCCTTAGGACCGCCCTGCTCGCCGCCGACGTCTCCGCCAGGACCGCCAGGTTCTCCGCCTCCCCCCGCATCGCCGCCTCCCCCAATGTCGCCGCCACTGCCGGTATCGCCGCCAGTGTCTCCGCCAGTGCCTCCGGGAGTGGCTAGTAGAGCAGTGGTCGAGGACTTGGGGAAGCTGAGAAGCGAAAGGCCTAGGATGCGACGAGGAGACAAGGTCCTTCCAGACGCTGCGTGAATTGGAGAGAATGCGAGAGTTTAGAGGCGGCATGATGAACTCGAAATAGCTCCCGAGTATCGGGAAAGAGGAGAACGGCACAAAAGGGAAGGCAGTGCGAGGAGACGGAAGTGATATTTGAGAGAAAGGAATCTGAGATTTTGGTAAAAATGCGCAATTTCGGGGGGGTGAGTTATCACCGCGCGGCGATACGAGGTGTGAGAATCTTACCAGGCGCGACGGAGGCTGACGCTACGAAAAGCGCAAGGAGAAGCAGCGGCACGGACAAACTTCGCATCCTGGAACCCATTCTAGCAGCTGAATCTCGACGCTTGTCGAAGTGCCACGAACCAGCGGAAAGAGGATTACTCGAGGCGAAGTGAGGCTAATCGAAGAAAACGGGAATGGAAGATCACGAGGTGGAAGCATGAGATGGGAACTGATGACAATTATGTGCGGGACGAGAGGTTTTTATACAAGGCTCGTGCTTGGAAAACATTGAAGGATGGTGGTGAGAACGCGGCTCGCACAACATTCTCAGGAACCAGGGTGCACGCTTGGCGGGAAATGTGTTTTCGCGCCAGGTGGAATCCGTGAGTTTCGCTGTTCTCCTGCTCCACAGGCCAGCGGGTTGCGATGGTGGCGTGGCGAGCGCCGCGAATCTGGTTACTCTAACGATATGGCTAGCGAATTCAAATCCTCGCAATTTTCCAACCTGCGAAGGCAGAGTGGATCACGCCACGATTCACGATTTGCAACCGATGGTCACGGTCACGGCGCGCAGCAAGTTCGGATTGCAGGTGGAAACTCCACCAGCAGCACTCGTTGAAACTGGTTGACCTGATCTTACCTGGGATGGGCGAGTTGCATTCATCGATGGAAATTGCGCATGATGTGGCAGCAAGTGCTGCGGCAAATAGAAACAAGCAACTGTAAATTATAAGCAACCGCGCTTACACAACACATGACTGTATATGTCATACATCATGAGTACATACATCATGATATGTTGGGGGTTGTAAAATATTTTATGAATGTTAAACATGAGAGAAGATACAAGGGAAACGTAAAGAAGGAAATAACCTCCGTGAAGTAAACTGGTGAGAATACGATGTTGGCGAGTGATCTGCTGCTGATGGTAACTCCTCTCACTTACCCAGCGTAAGCCCCTACGGAGTCTAATACATTCAACGCAGCATCCGAATCAATAATCCAATTGAGCGTCACACACACTGGCACTTGTGAAACACTGATGTGTAGACACAGTAGAAGCAAAATGAAGCCTCTACTCCACTGTGCCTTACGGATGAAACACGTGAATCATCCGATGGTGTGTCACACAAGCACTAGAAACTAGGTGGTTGTGAGCAGCAGAGTCAATGTTCCAGTTGTGAGTCAGACAGGAACGAGCCCCCACCTTCTTCCCCAAGCCTCTCGAGGCCTACCTAGTACACTCAAGCACCAAGCACTCTACAAGAGCGCCTTGAGCTCAAACCCAGCAGCCTAGTCAATGATCCAGTTATGCGTCAGACATGTACGAGCCTTTGCCACATTTCTGAAGAACCAACTAGGTACGCTCTAGAATGATTTCAGCTCAAACCCAGCAGCCTAGTCAATGATCCAGTTATGCGTCACACGGGCACGAGCCCCCACCTCCTTCGCCAATAGCCCAGCAGCCCCCCCCCCCCCGCCTCTCCACCAGAGCCAGTTTCCGCAGCATCTTACCCAACCCACCGGGAGTGCTTGCAGGCACATCAGAATGGTTTCAGCTCAAACGCAGCAGCCGAGTCTATGATCCAGTTGTGCGTCACACAGGCACGAGCCCCCACCTCCTTCCCCAGTTGCCCAGCAGCTTCCCTCCGCTTCTCCACCAGCGCCAGTTCCCGCCGCATCTTACCCGATCCACAGGGAGTGCTTGCAGGCACATCAGAATGGTTTCAGCTCAAACGCAGCAGCCGAATCAATGATCCAGTTATGCGTCACACAGCCACGAGCCCCCACCTCCTTCCCCACTTGCCCAGCAGCTTCCCTCCGCTTCTCCACCAGCGCCAGTTCCCGCCGCATCTTACCCGAGCCACTGGGTGTGTTTGCAGGCACATCTGCATACACCACCAAGAGTATTTTCGTCTCCCCTTCCTCTCCTCTCCTTTTTTCGGCGGCAATGGTGGTGCTGTTTGTTGTGTTGGAGGGGTTGGAGAAGGCAGCAAGAAGGGTCTTGGCTGTGGGGGACTGTAAGGCGCTGCTTGGAATGACGGTGCCGCCACCGCACTGGGAAGGGAAGAAAGGAAAATAGGGGATTGAGGGGTGGTAACACAAATGGGGTTTTTGGGGAGATTTGTATGGGTAAGGGTTACAGATGATATGGTGGAATCTGTTTTTTTTTTTTTTAGAATTCTCAAAAAACTGATTGAGAGGAACAGAAAGGGTTGCAGAGGAATATTATAGCGAGATGGCAAAGCTACCTGTAGCGAATCCCACCTGGAGGATGCTTGCCACGTCAGCAAAGGAAGGGCTGAGGAAGCCACCCTCAAGAAAGACCGCTGTGATGCTGGCGAAGAGGGGAGGCGGCAAGGGATGGCCTTTACCGATGGGCTGATAGGGAGGCATGGGAGGGGAGGAGAGAAGAGGGGAGAGGAGAGGAGAGAGAAGGGCTGAGGAAGCCGCCCTCAAGAAAGACCGCTGTGATGCTGGCGAAGAGGGGGGGCGGCGAGGGATGACCCTTGGCCATGGGCTGAATGGGAGACATGGAAGGGGAGAAGCGGGGACGGAAGGAGAGAGAAAGGAAGAGGAGCGAAGGGGAGGAGAGAAGGGCTGAGTGCCGCGTTCGAGAAGATGGAGGGGAGAAGATGGAGGGGAGAAGATGGAGGGGAGAAGATGGAGGGGAGAAGATGGAGGGGAGAAGATGGAGGGGAGAAGATGGAGGGGAGAAGAGAGGAGGGGAGAAGATGGAGGGGAGAAGATGGAGGGGAGAAAATGGAGGGGAGAAGATGGAGGGGAGAAGAGAGTGAGAAAGCTGCCCTGAAGAAACACCACCGTGATGTTGGCAAAGAGAGGAGGAGAGGTGACTTTAGAGTCGACTCAAAAGTCTCCTTTGATTCGACTCAAAAGTCTCCTTTGAGTTGACTCAAAAGAGGAGTGAGAAAGCTGCCCTGAAGAACCACCACCATGATGTTGGCAAAGAGAGGAAGAGAGGTATGACCCTTGGCCATGGGGTGCTGTTGCAACGCGTGTGATGCGTCGATTTTTGAGTCTACTCATCACACAAGGGGAGGAGAGGTATGACCCTTGGCCATGGGGAAAACAGGGAGACAAGAGGAATGGGAAGGGAAGCTAGAGAAGGGATGACGAATGAGCCTTCCGAAAACACTGGCTGCGATATTGGTGAAGAGGGGAGGCAGCGAGGAATTGACCCTTGGCCATGGGCTGAATGGGCGGCATGGGAGGGGAGGAGATGGAGGGGAGAAGAGAGGAATGAAAAAGCTTCCCCAAAGAAACACCGCCGTGATGTTGGTGAAGAGGGGAGGCGGCGAGGAATGACCCTTGGCCATGGGCTGATAGGGAGGCATGGGATAGGGGAGAGATAAACCGTCCTGCTACCGCCCATCCTTGATTCAGGCGTGCTACAGCCGTGCTACAGCGGTGCTACAGCCACTCTATGTGTGCTACAGCAGTCCTCTGCACTCACCGCATAGTGCAGCCTGCCGCGTGTAGCCCCGCCAGACTCGTCGTGCGAGTCACAGAGCACCTCACATGCTTTCAAATATGCTACAGCCGTGCTACAGCCACACTCTATGTGTGCTACAGCCGTGCACTCACCGCATAGTGCAGCCTGCCGCGTGTAGCCCCGCCAGACTCGTCGTGCGAGTCACAGAGTACCTCATATGCCTTCAGACTCGCACTGCTACAGCACCTACTGCCAGCCTTGCAATAATCATGCTCCGTGCTACAGCCGTGCACTCACCGCATAGTGCAGCCGGCCGCGTGTAGCCCCACCAGACTCGTCGTGCGAGTCACAGAGCACCTCAAATGGTCCCTCAGCAGGCAGGGAGGCCAGGGAAGCGGCGGTGGGGGAGGATGGCAACCCTGTTGTGGGAGGGGAGAGGGGGCGCAACGAGGAGGAAAGAGAGAAAGCTAAGGGTGGTTCTTTCCTGGTTCTCTAGTCACAGAGCAACTCAAATGGACCCTCAGCCGACACAGCGGTTGGGTTGAGTCGACTCAAAAGTCATCTAGTCACAGAGCAACTCAAGTGGACCCTCAGCCGGCACAGCGGTTGGGTTTTGAGTCGACTCAAAAGTCATCTAGTCACAGAGCGACTCAAGTGGACCCTCAGCAGGCACAGCGGTTGGGTTGAGTCGACTCAGAAGTCATCTAGTCACAGAGCAACTCAAGTGGACCCTCAGCCGGCACAGCGGTTGGGGAGATGGCTGTGGGGGAGGATGGCATGGGTGGGGGCATGGGTGGGGGCATGGGTCGGGCATGGGTGAAGGTTGCATGCAACAGTAACACTTGTTGCTAAACGAAGCATTTGTTGCCAAACACAACAAAACAGTTACACTTGCTGCTAAACGAAGCATTTGTTGCCAAGCACAACAAAACACTTACACGTGCTGCTAAACGAAGCATTTGTTGCCAAGCACAACAAAACACTCACACTTGCTGCTAAACGAAGCATTTGTTGCCAAACACAACAAAACACTTACACTTGCTGCTAAGCACCCACTGCCCGTGCAGGATAGCCATCACCATCTTGAGCGTCCTCCGTGCCTTCCCCTCGGAATCTGTGCCGACCAATAAGTGGGTGACACGTGGACTCCAGTCTGACGTCAGCTGTGCGCCCATTGCGTCAGCGAATTTGACTAGGCGGGCCTATGGGAGGGGGAGGGAGAGTGGGGGAGAGTTGGGGGGGATTTGGGGGAGAGGGGGAAGGGGAGAGGAGGGAGAGGGAAAAGATAGAGGGGTGGTGGTGGGGGGGGTAAGTGGGGAGAGAGTGGCGGAAGATGGTTTGTGCAGTAAAGGGGGACTGTTGTTGAGACTAGAAATGCGATTAGTGATCAGGCTACTCACAACTTCAGTCACATATTGGATTATCGTAACACCACACGCAGACCCATCACACGCAGTCAAATCACATGCAGTCAAATCGTTTGCAGTCAAATCGTATGCAGTCAAATCGTATGCAGTCAAATCGTATGCAGTCAAATCGTATGCAGTCAAATCGTATGCAGTCAAATCATATGCAGTCAAATCGTATGCAGTCAAATCATACGCAGTCAAATCGTATGCAGTCAAATCGTATGCAGTCAAATCGTATGCAGTCAAATCGTATGCAGTCAAATCGTATGCAGTCAAATCATATGCAAGTCAAGTCATCTGCCACTCCACGTACAGTCACATCCTATACAGCAACATCCCATGGAGTCACATAACAGCGTACGTGGCTGTAACCTGTGAATCTCTCACCTTGGACGCTGAATCAAGGGCTGACCCACACAGCGTAAGTGCCACAAATTGGTGTATTGTCACATCACATGCAGTCACATCACATGCAGTCACATCACATGCAGTCACAGCACATGCAGTCACAGCACAGTACATGTGGCTGTAAGCGGTAGATCTCTCACCTTGGACGCTGAATCAAGGGCTGACCCGCACAGAACGCAAGTGCCACAAATTGGTGTATTGTCACATCACATGCACTCACATCACATGCAGTCACATCACATGCAGTCACAGCACAGTACATGTGGCTGTAAGCGGTAGATCTCTCACCTTGGACGCTGAATCAAGGGCTGACCCGCACAGAACCCACTGGCTGCAGACGGGAGAAGCAGAGAACCAGAGAAAAAGGAATAAATAACGGGAGGGGGGTTGATCGGGAAGCTACTAGTAATATGCAGTGCAGAAATTAAAGCTGAGCCCCAGGAGGACACACAGGTCGCAGAGGGATAGGAACAGGAGAAAACTACGACGAATCTGCAATTCTGAGTGCAACTTGCCCTGAATCTATCCCATACCCTTTACCTGGGAGGCTTGCCGCTGTTCCTAGAGCAAGAGGCATACCACCCATCCATGCCAGCACACCACCATGCAGCTTACCACACCATCCCATGCCTAGCCCAGTTCGGATGCACCTCAAAGCATTAACCCATACCCATACCTGGGAGGCTTGCCGCTGTTCCTGGAGCAAGAGGCGCCATCTGCTGCCACTGAGGCTGATTTCCTTGCTCCCATTGTCACAGCCACTTCAGCAGCAGCCGCTGCAGCAGCAGCAGCAGCAGCAGCAGCAGCAGCAGCAGCAGCAGCAGCAGCAGCAGCAGCAGCAGCAGCAGCAGCGGCAGCAGCACCAGCAACACCAGCACCCATATCTTGCTTCTTTTCCTTCTCCTTTCCTCTCTCTTGCGTTGTCGGTGCTCCTTCATTCCGTCTAAGAAGAGAACCTTCTCCCTCCACCTCCTTGCTTCCCTCTCCCTCATCTCCCTTATCTCCCTCTCCCTTCCTTTCCTTCTCACCCTCCTTCCCCTCACCCTTAGCCAGCCGATCCAAAGGCGGTTTAACTACCGCATGGGCCACTGAGGCACCAGCCTGAGGCACCTTAACCACCGGTTGAGGCACCTTAAAGACTGCACCGCTATCCGCTTTAGTCACCCGAGCCTGTGCCATCAGCTTTGCCGAAGCATCATCAGCAAGAGAAACAGAAGCGACGCTACCGGAAGGCTTGGGGGATGAATCATTAGGACAGGGTTGCCCTTTCTTGCTGCTACTACAAGGAGCCAGTGCGTTTGCTGCTGCAAAGCTCACGCCCCTCTCTGTCTCCTGCTCGCTGTCCCCCTCCTCCACTCCCTTGCCCTTGTCCTTCTTTGCAGTGCTCGTTATTGTCACATCTCTCGCTGCATCTGTTCCCGGAGTAACCTTGACAGAAGAGGCAGCGGCGGCGGCAGTGGCGGCAGTAGCGGTAGCAGCGGCAGTGGCATCACCAGCACCAGTTGCAGCAACGGCACTGGCACCAGCATCAGTTGCAGTAGCACCTTTGGTCAGAGCTTCCACAGGCATTTTCTCTGAAGATTTCGCAGGAGACAAGCCTGCAAGTTTTGGAAGTTACAAAGCACAATATTGTGAGTAACGCGACCTGTATTTAGTAGTATTAAAAAAAAAAAAAAAAAATCACGTGAAATCTTGATAAGTCACATCAGTGTACTCACATCCCTTCAAACTCCCTATCGACGGGGAACTTACCTCGCTCCACCGATCTGCACTCCTTGCCCACACGTGCCATGCTCTCTTCAATCTTCTTGCCCCCTGCAGCTTCATCCTTCAGAGTCACGCCCTTCATAGTCACATTCTTTGTCACAGGAACCTTGGCTATAGGAGCTGATGCTTTCCCCGCTCGTGCCGCATCCTCTTCTTTGCTTTTCACGGCCGCTACCCCCTTCGTAGTCACATCCTTCATAGCGACGTCCTTGACAGCGCCCTTTATAGTCACATCTTTCGTTACAGGAACCTCGGGCGCCACTGTAGCCGCTCCTTGCGCGGAAGTCTTTCTCCCCCCTGCCCCCGCGCCCTTCCCCCCTGCGCCAGTCCGCGCACGCCTCTGGTTCTTCCCCGCAACGGGGGGCGCGCGGGCGTCCTCCTTCCCCCGCAGCGCGTCCTGCGCGTTCCCTGCATCCTCCTCGTCCTCCGAATCGTCCGCATGCGCCGGCGCCGCCGGGGGGGATGGCTGCTTGCGCTTGAGCTTTTTCGGTTTGGCGCCCACGGGCGGGTGTTGCGGGCAGGAGAGCACGTATGCGTCCTGGTGGGGTGCGCATAAAGATTGTGCGTGCACATAGGGTGAGATGAATGCTTGTCGTCAGACTTTGGCTCGTTTTTCAGTTTCTTCGCTTCGATGCCCACAGGCGGTGGTTGCGGGCAGGAGAGCGCGTGAGTGTACTTTGAGTAAATACAGAGGATGTGCTTATAAAGGGTGTGATTTCAAAGGTCCACTTACTTAAACGTGCTTAGAGCAGTGAGGCACGTGGAGAACTTACGTCATCGAAGTGGCAGCCAGGAGTGCGTCGCGCGCACGGCACGTGGTACGTGTGGCGGCACGCGGGGACGCGGCAACCCAGCGCCGCGCCGCGCCCGCCGCACACGGTGCAATAGAGCCCTCCCGACCGCCGCAGCTCCTTCTGCACGTTCATAAAACGACCCTTGGTGAAATGCACCTCGGGGGACCTGCGCAAGGGGAGACGCGGAGAACAAGGGATCGGAAACGAGCGAAAGGGGGATGATGTGTGGGGAGGAGGGTGGTGGGGAAGTGAGCCCCCCGATCGGCGCAGCTCCTTCTGCACGTTCACGAATCGCCCCTTGGTGAAATGCACCTCGGGGGACCTGCGGGGGAAAGTGGCGGAGCAAAGGGCGCGGGAGTGACGGGAGCACGAAGGAGGTAGCTTACGCAATTGGCGCAGCTCCCTCTGCACGTTCAGAAATCGGTCCTTGAGGCGCTGATGCGTCGGTCCCTTAGGGAGTAACAACAGGGAGCGAGAGCCTTACAACGTTCTTAGTACTGGTACTTTCATTTCATAAAACGCTCCGAGTGTTCACGGACCTTGTTCCCAACGACGACCTCATATCTCGTCGCGACTCAGATTTTATTTACTTGTCCTCAATATAAGCGTCTGAACTCACCAGAGAAGGCAATCCTTGTGGACGCATCTCTCGTTACGACTAATATATCATGCGGTTATCCTCGTTACAATACTCTGAGCTCACCAGAGAAGGCAATCCTCGTGGACGCATATCTCATTAGGACTCAGATCGCCCGCGAGCTCGAAAGCCACGCCCTTTTCGTCCACCGCTACCAAAGCCCCGGTCGACTGACGCATAGGAAGGAAGAGAGAGAAAGAGAAAAAAGAGACAAAGATGCTGTTAGTGGAATTCCGAGTACAGAAACGAAGGTAGTGTCGTATTGGACGCCGCTGACAGCGCCAAGCGACACAATTCCCGCATTCCAGTAAAAGGGCCACATGATGGCAGATTATGCAATCGGAGCACTTCATCGAATTGTTTGCGGACGCAACGCGGGCTTCTTCAAAATCACCTCGTCCGAGCTGGTTTGATCGCAGAAGGAGCACCGAAGCTTCTTCTTCTTTTCCTTCTTCGTCACTCCATTTTCGCCGTCAGCCTGGTCCTCGCCTTCTTCTATACTTGCAAGAGCTTTCGATTTCCCGCCATCTGCTTTCGGCGGCTCGTCGAACTTACGAGAATGCTCGGCAGCAGCATTACGAGTTTTCGTTGCTGCACTGGCACTGCCATGGCTGATACTGTCCAGAGACTTAACTCGTCCCTTGACTCTCAGAATGCCCATCCCCGATTCCATGTCGAAATCGCGGATCGGAGTCGAAACGATGGTGCCATCCGCCGCATCGGACGGTGGCAAAAGCTGGATGCGTTTGTTGGGATGCGCTAGCGACGGCGGCCTGTGATCCATCTTGCGGTGCGTGTTGTCGCAGCTGTTTTACTTGGTCGGATTTAGAACGAGGAGGAAAGTGAAACACTCGCAGAAAGACGTAGATGTCTAAATGTTGTGCTGCGATTCTGACCCAAACTGCGATTGTTGTGAAAAGTAGAAACAATGGTGAGAACTCCCTCGAAGTGGGAATGGAACTGTAGTTTTGAATGATCAAGCCCACAAATAACGAATCAACAAGGGTGGTGAGAGGGTGGGAGCTGAAATTCAGACTTGGCAGAGAGGGTGGGGAGATATCGTTTTATTCGCCCGTCGTCACCGGAGGAATTCGTGAAGTTCGTGTGTAACTACGGAAAACGCGAAAACTCTGGAGATACAAGGCTTGACGACTCACTAAGGAGGTTCGCGAAACCACATGGATACCAGTCTCCTACCAGATGTTTGTTGAAGGCCTGAAAGCGCCTCGGAAATATCAGAAGGGAAGTTTGAATTTGAATTCGACATTCAAAATTTGAACGTACTCGCTTATTATTCAGGCTCGACTATGTACAAACCCCCAACAAGCGACGGAGAACCTGCTAATTGTAAGGAAATTCCCTTTTTCCTTACTTCGCATCTCTGCTCAACGCGTACATCACTGTAGCACCTCAGTCAGCACCGTTACCACTCGCGACCATCGCATCATTCATCATCCCGCCATTTTCGCACATCGCATCCCGACCTCACGGCTCGGCTGGTAACCCGCGCTCCGGGCCTACGCTTCGACACGTTCCCAACCTCAGTCCCAGGCTCGTCGCGCGACCATTACCGTTACCACTGTATTTTCGCTATATATTCTTCGCTCATGCCTTCGCTCATTGTACTCTTGCTTCGATAGTGCAATTCTCTTTCGTTCACTCAATTGCACTCGTAACACTTGGTATTCAGAGCCTACGATCCCATCTCGGACCGCATCCACACCTTCGCTTCCCCACTATCTCAATTTTTGGGGGGGGTAGACGTCTCTCAGCGATACAGCACCGCCGCTCGTAGTGCTCTCTCGCAAGCACGCACGGCCACGACCGAGGCTCTCGCTGAGCTTGCCCGACACCCCCGCCATGGCCGACTTCACGCTCGCCACATTGACGCAGGAGCAACTTGATCGTCTCGTGCGTCAACTGGAGGATTCGGCGCTTGAAATCGCGACCCTCACGGCGGAACGTGACTCCGCCCGTCAACAATCCACGATGAACATACCGACGACATCCCACGCACCAACAAACGCATCTGCACGTTCGGATGAGCCGATCATCATCTCGTCCGGCACACCAACACAACACGACAGCACGGGACAACGCTCAGGCGCAGCCAGTGAGGGCGCCGCCCAGCCGATGCCTGGCATGGGAGGAAACAGGATCGCACCAAGCCCACGGGAGCCTCGAGAAGTCCGTCGACACGTGGAATTTGCGGCGACAAGTGGCGAACAACCCAACATGGCACCAATGCCGCTCAAGCCGCAACGCCCGCCCTGCTTCGACCCAAGTCAACGCGGCGGTCCGACAGTTCAATCGTGGGTCTTCACGATGAACGTTTTCTTTGACGCCAATTACGTCGAGTCGGACGCCGCAAAGATCCGGTATGCGGTTTCACTGCTAAGGGGCCCCGCCATGGACTGGTGGCGAGTCATCGTGACGTCGCCACGCGCCTACGAGCCACTGTCGCACGAGGAAGGGCCCTCGGGTCCAGCTGTCACCTGGAGTTCGTTCTGCGAGACCGCCCAATACAGCACGTGGGATGCGTGGTGCGCAGGACTTCGGGCGCGTTTTGAGCCGATCACGGCTTCAATTTCGGCGCGTCAGAAACTGCGCACTTGGCGCCAGCTCGGGTCAGTTCAAGACTATACCAGCGGTTTTCTCGCACTTTGCGAGCAGGTCGGCTACATGCACGAAGCGAAGCGGGTGGACCGTTATGTCGGAGGGCTGAAGCCGGACATCTCGCACGAGATAATGCTGCGCGGTCTCTCTAACTTCAACGAGATTCTCGCGCTCGCCGAGAAGATCGACATTCTACGCCGACCGAGACCGGGGTCCTATTACGGACATCGTCCTCGGGGACCGACCGAGCACGCCACTGTACACGCCGTCGCAACGAATGCAGCTGCCGCACCGTTTAAGGGGCGCTGCTTTGCTTGCAACAGGCCGGGCCATCGCAAGAGCGAATGCCCAGAGGAGCTGAGGCACCGAGGAGCAGAGCAGGGGAGGGAGTCTCAGAGGCAGGGAAACGCCAGCAGTCAGTAGAAGTTGGGCCAACTACTGACGAGACTGCCTGCTCGCCCAACCACACCGACCCTCACCGAGTCACAGTACCGATTCATGCCATCGATCGGGCTCGGATGAATAAGGAGGGTACAGCAACGGATTGCCCAGTACTAATCTACGGGAAAATACAGGGAGCAGCAGTGAAGATTTTTATTGACGGAGGAGCAAGTCACAGCTTAGTTAATACCGCAACCGCACGGAGATTACAGTTAACACTTAACCGATGCTTACCTGAGATAGATGCACGCTTAGTCGACGGCACGCCACTGGCTATACGGGAAAAGGTGGAGAGAGTAAAGGTCCGCTGCGGAGGGAACTTCGGGTTTACACAGGAAATGCTCGCAACGACACTGGATGGGCAAGACATTTTATTGGGACGTGATTGGCTGCGACGGTATAACCCACGAATTGACTGGACGACGGGTAGCTGCACAGTGCGAAGTAGTGGTAACTGGGTCGTCCTACCTCGCTGGCAGCCACCCGAGTCTTCGACGGTCCAGGTCAACGCCATCACGATGAAACGGGCAGTCGCTGCTGGAGCTGACGTGTACGCAGTGGATATCGCATTAGTGGAAAAAGAGGTCCGGCCGAGTGATTTGCAGAAACTGTTGGCAGCCGTACCACCCGAACTACAGGCACTACTGAAACGGTTTCCAGGTATCTTTCCGGATGACTTACCGCAAGGGCTGCCACCTCAGCGGGCGCATGACCATAGGATCGAGTTAGAACCGGGGGCACAGCCAACTGTACAGCGCCAATTTCGACTGACACAGCCCGAGCTCGACGAGCTAAGGAAGCAGTTAGATTACCTGTTAGAGAAGCAGTTTATCCGACCGAGCTCGTCACCGTTCGCCGCACCGATACTGTTCACACCGAAAAAAGACGGGGGGTTTCGCATGTGCATCGACTACCGAGCGCTTAACAGGGTAACAGTAAAATCACGATACCCCATCCCCCGCGCCGACGAACTGATCGACCAGCTGCGAACCGCACGAGTATTTTCGAAAATAGACTTACAGGGAGGTTACCATCAAATTCGGGTCGAACCATCGGACTGCGCCAAGACAGCATTTAGGACTAGGTACGGGTCATTCGAGTACACGGTGATGCCTTTCGGGCTGACCAACGCGCCTGCAACATTTCAGATGACCATGAACGAGGCGTTTAGGCCACTTTTAGATAAATGCGTCATAGTTTACCTCGACGACATCCTCGTTTACAGTCGGGACCAGCAGCAGCACTTAGTAGATCTCGAAGCAGTTTTTAAAATTTTAGAGGCACATCGGTTACTCACCAAGGGCTCCAAGTGCGAGTTTTTTCGGGACAGGCTAGAGTTTTTAGGTCACGTCATTTCGGAGGCTGGGGTTGAGATAGACCCTAAGAAGCTGGATACCGTAAAAGCGTGGCATCCCCCGACAAACATCACGGAACTACAGAGTTTTTTAGGGTTTGTTAATTACGTTCGTCGGTTCGTCCCCGACATGGCACGCTTAACAGCCCCGCTCACTGATTTACTGCGTAAGGGGGTCCCTTCTACGTGGGGGGAGAAAGAGCATGCTGCCTTCTCTGCCCTGAAAAATGTTCTCTGTTCACCACCCGTCCTACGCATCGCTAACCCACACCGCCCCTTCGAAGTTGTTGCAGACGCGAGTGACATCGCCATCGGAGCCGTACTGTTACAGGACTTCGGCAACGGCCTCCAACCCATCGCCTACGAATCACGCAAGCTACATCCACCTGAGCGAAATTACCCGATACACGACCGCGAAATGCTCGCGATCGTGCATGCATTCAAAGTGTGGCGTTGCTACTTGACCGGCGCAGACGTGACAGTACGGACAGACCATCGATCCCTACAGTACCTTCGCGCACAGCCCCACCTCAACCCACGACAGATTCGGTGGCTCGACTTCCTCGAATCGAATTTCCACTATACGGTCACATATAAAAAAGGAGCCTCGAATATCGCCGACGCACTGACCCGTCCCACTGCCCAAATACATGCGATACTACTCGCCCAGACCAGCCCGTTACTGACAGGACTATTTACCCACGGATATCAATCAGACCCATTCTTCACAGGAGGAAATTCACAGCAATTCGCAGCAGCCAAGGGAGCCTATCACGTAAAAGCTAGATCCGGCCGCATCTGGGTACCAGGGTACACGCTACTACGGGAACTACTGTTACAGGAGGCACACGACGGAGTTACCTCGGGACATTTCGGAGTAGAAAAAACACGGCAGCAGCTGCAGCGGTACTATTACTGGCCGGAAATGTTGACCGACGTGCAACGACACGTGGCATCGTGTCCCACTTGCCAACTCATGAAGTCAACCAGGAAGCGGCCGGCAAGCCAATCACAACCAATCCCACCTCCAGAGCGTGCTTGGCAGCAGGTGACGATGGACTTCGTCACGGGGTTACCGGCCGGGGCGAGTGGGAATGACGCGATCCTGGTCGTCGTCGATCGACTAACGAAAATGGCACATTTCGCAGCATGCAGGAAATCAATCACAGCCGAGGAAACAGCCCGACTCTTCATCGCCACCGTCGTTCGACTGCACGGGATACCAGCGTCGATCATCAGCGACAGGGACACGAAGTTTACCAGTAATTTCTGGCGGAACCTGTGGCAGCAGTTCGGCACGCGACTTCAATTCAGTTCATCGTATCACCCCGAAACCGACGGACAGACAGAACGGACAAACCAGACTATGGAGCAACTCATTCGAGCCACGTGTGACGATCCAAACACGTGGGAGCAGCAGCTGCCTCTCATCGAGTTTGCATACAACAACGCGCCATCTGCCACGACCCAACAGTCGCCATTCTACTTGAATTACGGACAGAACCCAACAGTACCCATGACACCAAACCCCGACAATCCCGTTCCACGCGCACAACAGTTCGCCGAGATTTTGCAAGCAGCACGGACCAGGGCAGCAGAAGCAATTAAAAAATCAAATATCATCGCTAAACACAACGCCGATCGCCACCGCAGACCCGTCACTTATCAGCCCGACGACCTCGTTTTACTCGACACTCAGAACCTCCGCCTGCCCATCACTCCCAAACTCCGCCCTCGATACTGTGGGCCATTTCGAATCAGTCACATGATCACACCTGTCACCGCGCACCTCCTCCTTCCTGCTGACTAGTACGTCAGCCCCTCGTTCCACGTCAGCCTGCTTCGCCCTTACGTACCATCTGTCGAAATATAGTTGTCATGTTTTATAACTGCTTGTAGTTGTAGTTAGTGTAGTTATTTAAACTGTTGTTGGTGGTGCACCTTATTTGGTTCCTATGCTATATGTACTTCGAACCCTATAGTGAAACCATCATTCTCCAATTTCTCTTCCAACTCACTCGATACTCACCCTAGGTAAAACCCGCTCGACATCCCACTTGGGCCTAGGCTACTAAGCCTAGGCCCTACTTTAATCTACTCGTTCTCTCATTCGTTCAACTCTCGACATGTTATCGGAGCGAATTACGTCCTGGCCTGTGGGCCCGCCCTACACTTCCGCTGCTAAGATTTTCCGGTCGCGCGCCTAGGGCGCGTGACGATTTTTCCTTGTCCCGCCCCCGGTTGGCGTGTGACGCCTTTTCTGCCCGTCGCGCGCCCCGTGGCACGCGACGGTGCCCTTAACCTGCCCATCGTGCGCCGCGTGGCACACGATGGTGCCCTGCTCGTCGTGCGCCCCGAGGCACACGATCGGGCCCTTTCTCTTATCCTACCCGTCGTGCGCCCCGTGGCACTAGCACGCGACGGGCCTTTCCGCCCCTGCTCTCCCTGAAGCCGCCCCTGATCAATCTGCGTCGACACCGTTTAGCCGCTCTGCGGCTTTCTTCCCGCCCACCCCCCTCCTCCTTTGTCTCCCTGCAGCCGTGGGGAGGAGGGTATGGGGGTGGCGGGTGTTGGAGTGTTGGGTCAACTCTCTCCCTTCCCCTCCTCCTTCTTTCAGTCCCACCGCTGCAGCTGCCGCTGGGGGGGGAGGGTGTGAGGATGTGGGGGAGCAGGGGGAGTGGTACCGGGGTGGCGGGTGTGAGGCAACATGCAGCCGTCCCTCCACCTCTCCTCTCTTCCCCCCTTCTCTGCTGCTCCTGCAGCAGTGTGGGGGAGGGGAAGGAGGAGGGTGAGGAGATGGAGGGGGTAACTATTCAATGTTAGCCCGCCTGCAGTACCTGCTGTTGCTTGTTATTCTTTTGCACGGCGTAACTACATCTCTACCTACAAGCATTATGGGGGCGTGTCGAAATATATTTGTCATGTTTTATAACTGCTTGTAGTTGTAGTTAGTGTAGTTATTTAAACTGTTGTTGGTGGTGCACCTTATTTGGTTCCTATGCTATATGTACTTCGAACCCTATAGTGAAACCATCATTCTCCAATTTCTCTTCCAACTCACTCGATACTCACCCTAGGTAAAACCCGCTCGACATCCCACTTGGGCCTAGGCTACTAAGCCTAGGCCCTACTTTAATCTACTCGTTCTCTCATTCGTTCAACTCTCGACACCATCCACCAGCCAACTCCCACGACATCGACCATCCAGCATGTCACGACCACCAACCGAACCAGTCATCACCCCCGACAAAATCTTGAGCCACAGAGTTTGCGACCCTCGAGGGGCCCGAAAAGTTGAGTTTCTGATTCGCTGGAAAGATCGTACACCCACCGAGGACAACTGGGTCCCCCTGGACAGAATTGAAAACCACCCTGTCGTCACCGACTATCTACGCAGCCGAAACTTCAAAGACGTCCACGCGCTGTCGTAAGGAGTACCTTTTAGGAGGGGGGGGGTAGTGTAAGGAAATTCCCTTTTTCCTTACTTCGCATCTCTGCTCAACGCGTACATCACTGTAGCACCTCAGTCAGCGCCGTTACCACTCGCGACCATCGCATCATTCATCATCCCGCCATTTTCGCACATCGCATCCCGACCTCACGGCTCGGCTGGTAACCCGCGCTCCGGGCCTACGCTTCGACACGTTCCCAACCTCAGTCCCAGGCTCGTCGCGCGACCATTACCGTTACCACTGTAGTTTCGCTATATATTCTTCGCTCATGCCTTCGCTCATTGTACTCTTGCTTCGATAGTGCAATTCTCGTTCGTTCACTCAATTGCACTCGTAACACTAATCCTCTTGCTACTCTATAAATTTTACCTGAACTATATTTTCAGTTCATTACTCGTAAGTATTTTCTCCTTTCTTTCGCGTTTGCTCAGAAGTTGGCAAGAACGTCATCTACATCACAGTAGATAGGCAGAGAATAGCAGATAGGCATGTCTACATTAAACGCATGAATGATTTGAGTGATGAACCAAGCACTACAAATTTTACAGAATCTTTCCCTACAAACAAGCATACACTACAGCTTATCAAACAACTATTCAGAACTAGAGCTCATAAAACACACATAACGAAGACTAATAGCTATGCATTGCCACCTCTCAGCATCATCCTATTCCCCCCCATCATCCCCTCCATCATGTCTTCCATCTCTTTGTCATCCACCTGCCTTCCAACCATGCCATCCCCGTGTGGCATCATCACCTTGCCGTTGCCTGTTGCAATGCTTTCACCCTGCATCATCATATCAGCTTGATTCATCATCATATCACCTTCCTCCATCATATCATCCGCTTCCATCATCATACCATCCCTATCCCCCATCATTTCATCCATGCCAGGCACATCAGTCATCACCCCAACCGAACCAGTCATCACCCCCGACAAAATCTTGAGCCACAGAGTTTGCGACCCTCGAGGGGCCCGAAAAGTTGAGTTTCTGATTCGCTGGAAAGATCGTACACCCACCGAGGACAACTGGGTCCCCCTGGACAGAATTGAAAACCACCCTGTCGTCACCGACTATCTACGCAGCCGAAACTTCAAAGACGTCCACGCGCTGTCGTAAGGAGTACCTTTTAGGAGGGGGGGGGTAGTGTAAGGAAATTCCCTTTTTCCTTACTTCGCATCTCTGCTCAACGCGTACATCACTGTAGCACCTCAGTCAGCGCCGTTACCACTCGCGACCATCGCATCATTCATCATCCCGCCATTTTCGCACATCGCATCCCGACCTCACGGCTCGGCTGGTAACCCGCGCTCCGGGCCTACGCTTCGACACGTTCCCAACCTCAGTCCCAGGCTCGTCGCGCGACCATTACCGTTACCACTGTAGTTTCGCTATATATTCTTCGCTCATGCCTTCGCTCATTGTACTCTTGCTTCGATAGTGCAATTCTCGTTCGTTCACTCAATTGCACTCGTAACACTAATCCTCTTGCTACTCTAAAATTTTACCTGAACTATATTTTCAGTTCATTACTCGTAAGTATTTTCTCCTTTCTTTCGCGTTTGCTCAGAAGTTGGCAAGAACGTCATCTACATCACAGTAGATAGGCAGAGAATAGCAGATAGGCATGTCTACATTAAACGCATGAATGATTTGAGTGATGAACCAAGCACTACAAATTTTACAGAATCTTTCCCTACAAACAAGCATACACTACAGCTTATCAAACAACTATTCAGAACTAGAGCTCATAAAACACACATAACGAAGACTAATAGCTATGCATTGCCACCTCTCAGCATCATCCTATTCCCCCCCATCATCCCCTCCATCATGTCTTCCATCTCTTTGTCATCCACCTGCCTTCCAACCATGCCATCCCCGTGTGGCATCATCACCTTGCCGTTGCCTGTTGCAATGCTTTCACCCTGCATCATCATATCAGCTTGATTCATCATCATATCACCTTCCTCCATCATATCATCCGCTTCCATCATCATACCATCCCTATCCCCCATCATTTCATCCATGCCAGGCACATCAGTCATGGCATGCTCCTGAGCGTTTTCCACCATAAGGCCATTAACGAGACTTTTCTTAAAAGCGTCAAATGCGCTTATCGATGCCGTGTCCAACGCTGCTCTGCCGCGCATCATTCTCCGCGAATACTGCGCGCTGATTCCACTAGATCCAACCGCGGTATCCTCGTTTGAGAAAATTTCGATTTTGGGAGAAGACGCACCAAATACACGGCGGAAGAAGTCACAGATGGATGAGAAGAACGCGCAGGGAGTCGAACTGCGCAGAGGAACAGCCTGGGGAGGTTCAATTTCCGCCCTTAACTGCATCGGGTGTTCATTTAGATTTCCCGTACCCATCATAGGCACGTGCATGCGTCCATGATGCATATGCATGAGAGGGAAACTCATGCGCCTTCCTCCGAAGCGCATCAAGGTGCTGCTGCCGCCGTTCGTGGTGGGGGCGCTGGCGCTCGTCGAATCTTCAGAAATTTCCCCAATCAATCCAACGGCTCGCATGCTTCGTCGAATCAGCTCCAAATGGGGGGCCTCCTGCTTCTCTCCGCCACCGTTTCCCCCGCAGTCGCCCTCGGGGAAAGCTTCCTTTTCCGCGGATTCTTTTACCGCCTTGCCCCTTCCGCCCATCATTCCGCCGCCTCCTCTTCCGCCCATCATTCCGCCCCTGCGGCGCGAGCGGTCCATGGAGTTGCGCCAGCGCCACATGCTGTCGTGCATCGCCTCCATCTCGCTGTCGCTGAAGCCGCCGCCGTCGCGCGACAGCAGGCGACGACTCGTCGGCGACAGCATGCGACGGTTATTCGGAAGGGATTCGGAAAGCTCGGAAGACGAAGCGGGTTTCGAAGCATGATTGGCTTCCGTGACTGCACATCCAAGGACGAGAAGGGCCGCTACCAACGCCATCCATAGAGTTAAGCGACTCATGGTTACGAAATATGTTAACAGACCGCGTGCAGTCACCGGCGACTAGAGCAATGGAACTACTACTAGGACGGTTTATAGAACCCTCAATGAAACTAGAAGAAAGAAAAAGGCATAATCGTATTGTAATTGTGAAGCCTAGTAGAAATTTGCTGCTGACAGGAGAAATAAGGGAGGCTGCCGCCGGTGGAAGAGGGCTGTGGAACCGATGCTAGGGACCGCTTGGAAGGGGAGGAGGTGGTGTGGTGGTAGGCTGGTAGTGAGAAAGGTCGGTGTGGTTGTGGTTCATCCTGGGTGAGGAGGACAGGAGAAGGGAAGAGGGAGAAATTGCTGCAGAAACATCGCTCCAACCAGCACAGCGCTGGCAAATCGCACCGCCAGCGCAGCGTTGGCGGAGCGCGCTCACTTCACTTCGGGTCAAGCATTGAGGGTGTTCGTCATGGCTTGGTGAGATTCGCATCCATGGGTACGAAGGAGGTCGCATGGACGCTGGCGTTCGCGATATGACCCCAGCTTTTCGGCAATTACAGTCACGACAACTCAGCAATGTCAGAAAGTAACCAGAGTTCGCCTGTCCCGCCTCTCCCGATGTGGTGTAGCATTTCGCAGCCGATAGTAGCACTTGCAGAAGGAAGGAGTTGTTGAAGGTGGAGGGCAGCTGAAAATGTATCAGGCGTCTAAGGAGCGGCTGCACCTTCAGGCGGGTTCCACGGCGGAGATGACGAGAGAAATCGCCTCGGAGCATCTTTCGGCGAAGGTGCAGGCGCAGAAGGATCGAACACAGATTTCGAAGCTGAAGGACGGCGCGGTGTCGATCACTGGTTCCAAGGAGATTCGGGCGGTGGCGGCGCGACACTTCAGGAGCATTTTCGGAAAGGACTGTCGGGTCGAGGGTGCGGAGTGGAGTTTCGACCTGGCTCGCCGCCTGGATGTGGGAGTGGCTGAAACACTAACAGCGGACTGGACAGAGCAAGAGGTTAAGAAAGCTTTTGCGGCGATGGCGAGGAACAAATCCCCTGGCAGTGATGGCCTGCCGAAGGAGCTGTTCGAGGCACACTGGGACCTGCTGGGGGAAAGTTTCATGGTTATGGCAAGGAGTTTTCATAACACTGCTTCTTTGCCGGCTGAGCTCAAGGAAGCTGTGACGATTCTGCTGCACAAGGGAGATAAGGAGTGCGGAGAGTCACCCTACAACGGGAGTGGACTACGAAGGAGAGCACGGAGTTGAGTGGGTGATCGTAGCGCTCTAGTAGAGTTCTTACTACTTGCTGTGACCACTGAGAAATTTGGCAAGAGTTTCCACTAAGGAAATTGAAAGAACATTGAAAATTGAGAATTAGAGTACAAAGAAGAGCATGCAGGTGATACCACTGGAATGGCATTGCAATCCCTAGCAAGAATTCTGCAAGGCGAATTGCCAGCACTACATCAGAGCGGTTCGCCAACGCTGAAACAGAGAGGTCTGCAAGCGGAGCAAAAGGGCGACATGCCAGCGCTGCAACAGGGCGGCCTGCCAGCGTTGCATTCGTAGGTGAATATCTGCGCAGGTGTGCACCTGCCGAGTAGGTGCAGGTAGACAGTTGCACCATCAGAGACATTGCGCAGGTGCCAGGTAGAAAACGCTCCGATGGTTTCGTCAGGTGTCCACCGTCGAGCACGTGATGCCATTTCGCAGGTCGAATTTCGCTAAGAGCCTCCTGAGCGAAATTCGCATGCCCTTGCAGAGTTTCGCAGTCGCGCGAATTCGGCCAGCCAGTTCGCTGAGATGAGACTCGCCGAACAGCGCCCTTCGGTCAGAGAACGCGGCTCCTCGGAAAGCACCCCGTCCGTCAGAGATCGCGCGATCCAGAAGCAGATCAGAAGACGAGCTTGTCGAACAGCACCCCGTCGACCAGAGCTCGTTCATGAGCTGGTGAATCAGAGGACAACCTCCTCCAAAATCACCCGCGGTTTCAGAGGACGGGCTGATCCAATGCGACGATCACTTCATCGAATTCACCACGTCGTCGCTGAAAATGTCTACGCCCAAGTGAGGGCGGGGCCTTTCATTCCGACAAGGAGCAGCTTAATAACTACCGTCCAATCACGTTCCTGAATTTCACTTACAAGGTTCTGGCTCGGGTGGTGGCGGATCGTATGAAGTCGGTGCTTCACATGGTTATTTTACCGGAGCATTACGGTTTCATCCCCGGTCGTGGCCTATCGGATGCGGTTGCGCTGGTGGTGGACATTATTGAAGGCGCGAAAAGCGGGAACGATGATTGGCACCTCCTTTTGGTGGATTTTCAGAAAGCATTTGACTCGGTCTCGAGGGAGTTTCTCTTCAATGTGCTGGAGAAGATGGGTTTCCCGAAACGGCTTGTCGGCTGGGTGAAGGGCCTGCACGAGGGAACGACAACAAAGCTGCTGATTAATGGTTGGCTTGGAGTGTTAACAGGAATGGAGTGTTGGCCCCGCCCTTGCTTGGGCAACGCCGACGACTTGGTCGGATGTACGGGAGTAGCAGCCGACCGTTCACAGTGGGAGAGCTGCTCGACAGGCTTCGTCGAGCTGCAGGGGACCGCTGTGGTGTTGCTGTCGACCAGGGAGCTCGACAGCTGCAAATGACTGGTCTGGGCGACATGTGGGACGTCGACCAGGACCTGCAGCTCGACCGGGAGGTCTCCGGAGCATCCCGTCGACCTGCCGCTCGACCGGGAGGTCTCCGGAGCAGTCCGTCGACCTGACAAGTGAGCAGCGGTCGACGAGGGGAGCTCGGCGACAACCGCTGATGGTTCTAGTCGACGGAAGGGGTCCGCCGACCAGGGGGTAGCTCGACGGGAGTTGTGGTCGACCAGAGGCACCTGGTGGTCGACCAGAGGGACCTAGTGGTCGACCAGAAGCGGTGGTGGTCGACCGGAAGCACCTGGTGGTCGACCGGGTCGACCGGGTAACCTGCTCAACGAGTTCTGCGGAGGCACGCGAACGTCGTCGAGGTTGCGATGGCGCAGGCGACTGCGGGCTGGTATCCCGGAGTCGATGTGGCTTGTCAGGCGCAGACAATAGCTGACGGATGCCCAACGAGGCAAGCCGGGCCAATCGTCTGCGCACACCTGCGAGCGTGCACACTGCTATGTTCTACGGGGCAACGCTGGACAGCCGCTCTGCTGCAGCGTTGGCATGCCGTCGACCTGCTCTGTTGGCAGGTCGCCTTTCTACAGTGCTGGCGCGGCTCCTCTACGCAACGCTGGCAGGCGGTCGACCGAGCTGTGCTGGCGGTCGACCAGGCTGGCAGCAGGGTTGCTAGGTGCCTGATGTAGCCATTGTTGTCATTGCTTGTTCACTCATTTATGTAATTTCGACTTTGCCTAGTGGAAACCCTTGCCGATTACTCCCGTGAATGCGCAAGCACTAAGGAACTAAGCAAAGCTACGATCACCTCTAGTAGTTCGTGCCAACCCCCGTAGACTAGCTCACTACCATTGTAGAGTGACTCTCCGCATGGAGAGGGGGTCGATGTGGTCTCGGGAGTTCGGAAAGGGTGCCCTCTGGCGCCGTACCTGTTTCTATGTGCGGTGGAGCCGTTGGCTCAGGAGGTGGAGAAGCGGGAGCTCGGTCTTGAGAAGGAAGGGCGCCGGCTTGGGTACCTCGGGTACGCGGACGATACGACTCTCGTCCTGCAAGGAAGGGAGCAGATTGGTCAGGCAGAGGAAACATTGGACCGCTTCGAAAAAGCATCGAGCTTGGCAACAAACAAGTCGAAATCAGTAGTACTTGTCAAACTCATATTATATAGCTTGTCTAGGCTATAGTGGGGTACACACTATGGGGTACAGTTTCCTAGGGTTTCCTACTTGTACCCAACCTTGTGCTAGTTCATTCATTCCTCATTATTTCACATGGTATAGAGCAGGTTCCCTAGTGGGAATGCTTCCTTGGGCCCACCACTGAAATTTTTTTCTGACCAGAGCGCCAGTCGCTACTGCCCGAGGCGCGCCCTGTGGGCCGCCCTTCCGTCGAGGTCCCTTAGAGGCCCCTCCCACGGCCCCCCCGTGCCGCCCCTCGCGGCCCCTAGCGGCCCCGTCGCCGCCCCTACGTGGCCCCGTAGCCGCCCCTAGCGGCCCCGTCGCCGCCCCCTACGCGGCCCCGTCGCCGCCCCTAGCGGCCCCGTCGCCGCCCCTAGCGGCCCCGTCGCCGCCTCTCCACCTACGCGGCCCCGTCGCCGCCCCTAAGCGGCCCCGTCGCCGCCCCTACGCGGCCCCGTCGCCGCTCCTAGCGGCCCCACCGCCGCCTCCCTACCTACGTGGCCCCGTCGCCGCCCCTACGCGGCCCCGTCGCCGCCCCTACGCGGCCCCGTCGCCGCCTCTAGCGGCCCCGTCGCCGCCCCTAGCGGCCCCGTCGCCGCCTCCCTACCTACGCGGCCCCGTCGCCGCCCCTAGCGGCCCCATCGCCGCCCCTAAGCGGCCCCGTCGCCGCCCCTAGCGGCCCCGTCGCCGCCTCCCCACCTACGCGGCCCTGTCGCCGCCCCTACACGACCCTGTCGCCGCCCCTACGTGGCCCCGTCGCCGCCCCTAGCGGCCCCATCGCCGCCCTCAGTGCCCTCGTCCCCGCCTCCCTACCTACGCGGCCCCCTCGCCGCCCCTAGCAGCCCCGTCGCCGCTCCCCTTCCTACGCGGCCTCGTCGCCGCCCCTAGCGGCCCCTTCAGCCGCCGAGCCGCCCAGCAGCCGAGCCGTCGAGCAGCCGAGCCGCCAAGCCGCCTGACAGCCGAGCCGCCCAGCAGCCGAGCCGCCGAGCAGCCGAGCCACCCAGCAACCGACCCGCCGAGCCGCCCAGCAGCCGAGCCGCCGAGCCGCCCAACAGCCGAGCCGCCCTGCCGTCGAGCCACTAC